AACTACCCCTTTTTAAATAATACCTTTTACATTCTATGGATTATATTTCTTTGTAAAAGTCTCTACTGAGATAATGAGTTTTAACAGTTGCTATTGTTGATAAGTGTTTATCTGTTCTTGTGAAAACAGTGAAATGGAAGCCCTGTCTTCCTGCTGCTTCAGTGCTAGCTTTGCAAAAAAGAAACACGAGGGAAGGACTTATTTAATAATACTTCGGAAAGCAAGAACAGTGTGATGCTGTGCAAAACCATGCTGACAGGCCTTACTGAAACTCACATATGGTCAGCTGAAGGTTCTGCTTGGGCTTCATTTTGTTGTTCTTGTTGAACATCATTATTATAATGTGAGAAAAAGTCCCTACAGCAGTTGGGGCAGAAACAAATTTGGGATTCTTTGTATTAAGAAATGATGCAAAAATGAATAAATAAAAAAAAAGAAACATCCTGGATAAAGTTATTTATATAATCTAAATAAGAAAAGAGTTGGTTTTGATATTTATCATATTAGCCTTTCAAAATTAGAAATATTGAAGTAGCTAATAATCAGGACATTTATTATTTTTTTTATCCACACTCAATTGTTACCAATTCTGCGGTGACTGTCTGGACGAGTCCCTGCAGTTTTCAAGGCAAGGTGTTTCGGAATTGGTTTGCCAGAGCCTCCTTCCTAGAGCAGAGCCCAGCTGGCGAGCGCAGGAGGTGGGGTTTCCGTTGCTTCGTGCCTTTTTTGGGCGTGCGCAGTTTCCACGCTACCGGCAACTGCTCCCGTCTCCTTTTTGCAAGGCGCTGCCAGCATTTTCCTCCCACTGGGGTGAGAGTCCCCATTTATCTACTCATGTACGTTTTCGAGCTGCTGGGTTGGCAGGAGCTGAGGAGGAAGCAGGAGCTCGCTCTGCTGTGCGGAGCTGGGCTTGAACCACTGAAGTGTCAACCATTTCTGGCCGGCAACTTTCAGCGTCATTAAGCCGCTGTGCCACCGCGTCCCCCCCAGGACATACCATGTTTTAATAAAAAATTTTAAAGATACAGTATGTTTGATTATTTCAACAAGTTTCTGGCCGGCAACTTTCAGCGTCATTAAGCCGCTGTGCCACCGCGTCCCCCCCAGGACATACCATGTTTTAATAAAAAATTTTAAAGATACAGTATGTTTGATTATTTCAACAAGTATATAAAAAAACAGAATACAACACCAATAAGATAGAGATTCTCTAATTTTGTTGTGCTGTGAACCACTAACATCTCAAAAAGATCGAGCTTTTTCATTATCTTGATATCATAAATTTAGGAACCTGCTTTTATTAATTTAATAAGTTAAATTGAAACCCTTGAAATGCAGTGATTTCAGAATATAAGGCAAAAAAAAAATCCCTTTGAGCTGAGTGACATTTCTTAATAATAAAAGGTTAGAAAATTTAGGCCTGGTTATTTTTACTTGGAGAATTGAAGTTATAAGAAGAAATAGCTTGTTATCCCTCTTGAGTGTGGACAATGAAAGTGTAGGTGCTTAAAGAGAATTTCTTTCCCTTATAGAAGCATTTCTCCCAACTTTGTAATATTGTTGATATGGTACACAGTTTGATAATTAAAACAGTTTTCAGGGCTTTACTACTTAAGACGCATCAATCAGAATCCTAAATTTACTAGCAACATTTATTAGAACATATTTGATGTAATACAGTTCTGTGGCCAGAGTCCTCCTGAATTAAGTAAATATATGCCTACATAAAAATGTGAGAACTCCCCTGCCCCCATAAGCCATAGTTATGCACATCTAGTTCTGATAAAAAGGAAACAGTAGAAATTACCTTTTTTGTCCCAGTATTTTAAATACAATTACAGCTAAGATGCTAACCTGCATTTTTCCCTCTCTGCATAGACAGGTGGTCTATCTGTAAAGCCCAGAGGACAGTCAAGCCAGGCTCCTGGCTCTCCCTGAGCTTGCAAATCCCACTCTGTGACACATGTGCTCCTTATTGTCCTTCCTGTTCTGCTTGATAAGCCAAATAGAACAACAACAACAAAAAGGTTAAATCAAATACAACATTATAAATACAACAATAATTATGTCTATGTAAGAATCCTGTTTATATACAGTTCATGATTGAATGTGGACTACAAAGAATCATATTGTCCAGTCTTTATAATAATAAAGAACTAATTAAAGTCTGAGAGGTGACACATTTCATCAAGCCAACCTTTGGTGTCTGGTACATAACAGTCTTTCCCGAACATGTGATGATCTTTTGGGAACAGTCCAAGCACAGTAAATCCAAATTCATCATAAATTGACATATTCCAGATTTTTGAAATAATACAGCAATACATTCATATCATTAAATCTTAACTGCCTTCCAAGAACCTGATTCCACATAGAATATATAACCATTTAGAAGCTCCTTTAACTGGATGTATTGCCATTCAGCTATTTTGGGTAAATTATATATTTTTTTAATCTTTCAGAGGTTTTAAAAATAATATGAGACAATTACAGGAGCTGTCCCATTTTCTGCCCACGCTTTAAAAAAAAAAAAAAAAACTTGCCATTTTTAAATAAGGATTATTCCAGAGTCAATTTTTCATGTGACTAAGGAGCAAATTTTAATTTTCTATTCAATATTGTCCAAAGATGTCTAAACAAACTCAGTGTTAGAAATACAATAGATTTCCTATTATCCTTAGAACAAAGCATTTGCTGGATTTCATAGGTGCTAGGATTAGGGTTAGATTCCAGCCAGATTCCAGAACTACTTAGTGCCAAGCTGGGCCACACAAACTGCTATGTGAAACACTTTCACACATTTTTGTCAAGTAGCTGGCATGAAAGACAGTAGAAAACCAGGCAGATGTTTTAATTAGATGTGATATAAAATGTATGGCCTGGGGTGCTAGTACACTGAGGTTAATTCCACTTGCTGGCACAGTGGGAAAGAGTGTAAGAGGAAGTCTATGAGTTGATGAGATGACAGAAGGTCATCTCTTGTATGGTATGTGGGAATAACCTTGGGAGACAGAGGGAAGAGATGCTGCCTGGGAGCAATCAGATAAGAGAGGACATAGCCTGCAGCTGCATAATGGGAAGAGAAAGAGACTCAGAAAGGAACCTTCCTAACTTCTCAAGCAGTAAAAGATATGGTGGGAGATTTGTACTTTGAGACTTCCAAGATTCTGTTAATGTAGCCTTACAATAGGGTAGAATTAGTTCATTTGGTTGTATTTCCTGTCTGGTCTACCTGGGAAGGTTGCCATCTTTCTTGATGCTGAGAAGAGGGTGTCTCTCCCCCATTTGGACTCAGTTCTTGTCCATTTAAACTCTCCTTTCTCCTGGTTTCTTTGGTAATTTTTCCCTACCTCATAGCAGTAATTATAACCAAAATAATCAGTGTCATAATCTTCTGGTATTCAATTTCAAGGATAAAATTAAATGAGGGAGTTTTATAGGAGTATAATAGAATGAGCAGGGAAAACCATCCATTTGCAAAAACATCCATGCGTGTTTGCTGAATAATCTTAACTATTCAGAAAGATTAACTGCAATGAGTAATATGCATGGGCACAGCATGAAGAACTTGAAAAGGACTGATGTTATTTTACATTTGTTTTGAAATGTTATTTTATATTGAGGCTTTAACATATCATTGTGTCAAACATTTCAGTGACATAGGTTACTGTTTGCTCTCTTTTTGTGTAAGGCTCCTCTTTCCTTACATAGCTTCAAACAGTCACTTAGGGCTGTTTGTTGTATTATTTGTTATAAAAATAATAGGTTTTGCTTTGTTTTTTTAAAAGAGTACTACCCAAGAAATAATAAACCCAACCAAAGATATGGTGGAGAATGTCAGGACATAAAGGCTAAAATACTATTTATATTTATATGCAAATGAATCATCTTTTTCAGACCTTGAGATCCAGTAGCCTTAGTTAGGAACCTTCTTTCTACATATGCATTGCAGGAATGTTAGTTGCTAAACATTTGATGTGAAGAGCAGGAATGGAAGTGGAACCATAACATTCCTCTCCATTAAAGAGAGAACTATTAATTTGTCCAATTGGAAATTTGGGTGAACATTGAGACCAAGGTTGTATAAAATATTTTCTCTTTTGAAATTAATAAAAGGTCCTTCAACATGTACTTTTACTCTCTCAAAATAGGTAATATATTTAGTTTACCTAAACTATTTTAATCTGTACAATTAGAGAATGCAAAGGAACACATCCTGTTTCCAGACTTCTAAAATGCTTAATGGGTATCCAGCTATGGTGCTGACCCTTCATCCTGCCTAAATGAAATCCTTTGTTTTATTTACCATTCATTTGGTGTTCCTATTTTCAATTTTTTTTACTTTACAGATAATAAAGATGAAGATAGGCATCTTTAGCTAGTATAAAGTGCAGCCGTTGGTAATATCTTGTATATTAGTATCGTTGCTTTTGCTCTATGAAAATTAGGCAAAAATAAAATATTTGTGTTTTTCTATGGTATAACTAATAAATATATTTACTATAACTTAGATATTGTTAAATCAGTAAAATATGTTTATATTTGATAAGAGGGTAAGTAATTTGTACACTTCAAAATTGCCCCAATTTTAATTCTTTTGAAAAGAAAAAATACAAATAACCCCCTAGCATGGTTTCAAAATTTCAAAGACTTTGATTTTTTTTTTAAACTGGAAATATTATTCAAAACTTAATACTAACTATTGTATATAGTAGAACAATTCTAATTAAATTTGCTATACTTTTCTCCTATTTAAATTAGTATTAAAGTTACTCATGAGTTAAGGCCTGTTGAAACTAATGAGAACCAGTAGCAGCTTTTTGGTGGCTTTGCTTAGATTCAGCTAAGTGTTCACTTGACATTTCTCTATGATTGTCTGTAACTCACATGAATTTACATTGGTGGCAAACTTTCCATGAACTTCAGCCACTGTGACAAACGTCGTTGCTGAACCAGTAAATATTAACAAGTTCCTCTTCCCTCCTTCTAGAGCCACCAAGCCCCAGATGTCTGACAAGATGTCAAGTTTTTTGCACATTGGAGACATTTGTTCTTTATATGCAGAGGGTTCAACAAATGGATTTATCAGCACTTTGGGGTAAGATCAGCCACCTTCTTATGCTATATAGAATATATTTAATGAGCTGTTGTGTGAGAAATACGGGACTAGTCATCTAGTAGTCTATGCCGTCATCCAGCGTTTAACAGTACTGGGTATCTCTTTTTTCCCCCTACAGCTATAAATCCTGGGTTAAGAAGTTTCCCAGGTGAGTGAATACATTTCAGCCAAATCTAAATACTTTCCTTAAAAACCTTCATCCTCTTACTTACCTTCATCTTTGATGCTCTTGAGGACAGTCTTGAAGGGGTATCAGAGAATGGAGCTCTATAGCTTTATTGTCTGGGTGAACAACTGGGAATGAAGGACAATGTTTAAGAGGGGTCCTTGATAGTGAGAATAATGAAGATGATGGACAGTGGGGGGTTGTGGCACATTATGAACTTGAAACAAATCTGTTATTTGGTAGAATTGATACTAATTATTAGCAATCTTCTCCAGTAAACTTGGAACTGAATATATGGAAGGAATTTATTTATTTATTTAATTTTTTACACTACCTGACTCCCAGTGACTCTGGGCAGTTTATAGATAAAAACACTCAGAAAAATAAAATAATACAGTAATAAAAACAAAGAACAAAAGATGACAAATACCGGGCAACAACCAAGGAAACCCCCATTACCCAGTTCAGTCACCCTCATGCTTCAGTCACCCTCACCAAAGGCCTGGGGAAAGATCCATGTCTTCAAGGCTTTCCAAGAGACCGCCAGGGTGGAGGCCATCCAGATCTCTGGCAGAACCTCATTCCAGAGGTGCTATTATGGAGAAGGCATGCTTCCGGGATCCCAATAGATGGCATTAGTTAATGGAAAGAACTCTCCTAGATTGAACTGTCTAGGCAGATACTATGGGAGATAGGCGGTCCCTCAAGTACCCAGACCCTATGCCATTCATTTATATTAAATGTAGAATTTTAAATGCCCACACTTATGATTTTGGTAATGAGTATGAATTTTGTTTTAAAATTGTTCGGTGATTTCCCATCTCAAATCACGCTAAGCTATAGTTTATTTTAATCTTAATTTGCTGAGCAAGACAGAATGGCCTGGTTTTTATGTTGAATCAAAAAACATTGTTTATGTACCATAATAGTTGTGCTTCATTAGACTATGTCAAAACTAAACAAAGTACATTGTGACTTAGTGTGATATTTGAACTCAGCCATTGGCTCTGGGTGGACTTCATATTATGAACAGATGATGAATACATACAACAGGGAGGCTTGGGCTGATACATTACCCCTCTTCTCCAATACAATTTTCAGTCTTCATTGCCCATTCCTTACTAATATCATCTGAACCTGCCAAATTATAGATAACATAATTTATTCTTCGTTTGCAATGAGCCAGTTTCAAACTGTAGATTATGAAGCTGGCTTGTTTAAACAAATCATATAGTTAACATGAAATTAAGTACAGTTCTGTCAAAACTTCTGATATTTTCCTCATGGCTATGGTGGGAATGGTAGGACAAACACTGATATGGATGCTCACCATAGGTTATTCTCATACGAAGATTTGGTTTCAGGTTCCATCTAGACGTGCAGACTAGATTCTGAAACTGCCGGGTTTCCATAAAAGTTTAAGACTTCAAAGTAAGTGAAGCCAGGAAAGGGGAGAGAAAGATTTGATTTTTAAATATGACAGAATATGTATATACAAATGTACTTTGTATAAGAGGTACTTTTGAGAGATGATTTATATAGTGTATATATAGTTTATACTATATTATCTACTAACTTTCCTTTAGAAATGTAGTTTATTCTTTGTATGCTTATAGAAGGCAATAAAATCATGTAAAATGTTAAATTTTGATAAGGAACTTGGCAGTGATTCCCCTGAAAGTAATTAGATAATAAAAAGGGATGAGATAAGCAACAAAGCTAATGCAAAACACTTTTTTACAGATGGCCTCAAACCAAGAGACTATTGCATGCTAATTTCAGAAAGAGGGGCGGCATCTAATGATTGTTTTTCTTATATTTCTATGTTGCTTTTTTGGCAATGAGTTCAGTGGATCATGATTTAAATATTAAACCAAGACATAAGTTACACGGAGGTAATGATTTATTTTTCATAATCTTTTTGGAAGCCAACAGCATTTACTTTCTGGCATGTACATTTCTTCAGCAGAATAAAATCTCAAATATAACAAGGTATATGTTACCCAGGACCTTAAAAAACAGCAGCAGCAGCAATTTTTGGTTAAATTCAATAGAAGTTGGCCAAGTGGACAATCTAAAATGTTTATGCACATATGTAAATATAGAACATATAAGGTGTAATACAATTTCCCATTCCCAAGTACCTCTTATACAAAGAGCATGTAATACAATTTCCCGTTCCAGAGTGCTACTGTACTACCACATTTGAAGACTCTACAAGCCATAAGAGATGTGCTACTGCAAATGCATAGAACATACATTTACAAACATGAAGCATTATGGTCACCAAATTCTCAGAAATGAAGCATTATGGACAAAAGGGCAAGTTCCTTTGGACATAGGAAGAGCTTGCATTTTTATCTCAGAGCATATGTATCCACGATGGGAAACTGAGGCTTTAATATCACATATAGGCCTGGAGTCTTCTCTGTTCATGAGGCGCTGCATGTGTGTGCTCAGAAACAGTTTTGATTAACAACTGATAAGAAAGCTTTAATGAAAAAGCTAGTCGTTGATGACTGTAGTATTCTCTGCGTCAGCAGATGGTAGCACCTACCTTGGCTGAACTCTGAAGAGAAGAAGGGTAGATTCTTGTTACTATGAGATTGGGAGTATTCCAGGAGTGTTAGCGAGATTGGGAAAGTCAAAGTAACATTCCAAAAGAAGAAGATGGCAAACCATTTCTACATTATTGCCAATACATCTACATAGATGTATTCAAGTAGTCATCTGGAATTGGGCTTGACTCAAAGGAGTCGTTATTTATTTGTTTACATATTTTTGTGTACCCTTTACAAGGGTGTGGACAACTCCAACATGCAATATGCCATTTGTTAAACATATCTAAATTATTGAATTATACTTCTCTGCAGGCAGCTTTGCTACTTATTGTAAAGAAGAACTGAAGCAATTGAGAACTGAAAATGAATAGATGAAGAAAGTTATGGGGAAGTGAGAACCTTATATTGAGGAGACAGGAAGGAAATCGTTACTGAAGTTGCAGCTGCTTTATCCGCTATAAGAAATAGCTATGAGATAATAAAGAGAGAAGTTAAATAGAATTGTGAATGGCTTCTCAGGATCTTCAAATATTAATAAATAGGCCATTGTGATCACATAGGTATTAATAATTGCCTCCTTTGTGTGAGTAAAACTGATTTAGTATTCTTTGGTAGTTTTATTAAACTACAATTCATTTGAAGTTTCATTTGATGCTTTTGCTGGAAAAAAGTTCTTTAATCAAGACTGCTGTGTTTAACTCTAAACCACTGCTTAGCCTGTGTATGAATATTTCTCAAACTCTTATGCAATACCCAGTAGCTCATAGTTGCTGTTCAAGAAGAGATCAAGCATGTGGGAAAAGATAATTAGACTAATGCTCAAATGGCTAAAATGGCATGCAGCCTCATAACATATCTAAACATGTTATATTAGTAGTCCTGAATCCCCAGTATTTTTTTTAAAAAATCAAAATAGTATTTAATGTGAGCAATCCCCCCAAACATTAAAAAACTCATGGTGAAATGTACTTATTTGTATAGGACATTAAAATTAGAAAACTCTGAAAGAGGTTATATGTTAGCACTCATCAACGAAGGAAATGAACTATATTTAATGTGTTTTTTCCCCAAGTAATAAACGTAATTGCCATTGGCACTATGCACTGTGTTTTGCTTATCTGTATGCTCAGAATAATTCTCCTTTGTCTGTGATCTAATTTTGGAACAAGGTGAATATTTTTATTTATTAAAATTAATAATCTATTTGCTATAATTTCAGAAAACTGTAAGATAAACTCTTCTTTTGGCTCTGACTTCATACTTCTCTCTGTTCTCTCAGTTCATAATTGATTGATTGCTTGATTAAGCAAATTTATATAGCTGCCCATCTCACCAAAAGTGACTCTGGGTGGCATACAACAATCAGATAAAAAAAAATATAAAAACAACATGGAAAATATAAAATCCACATTAATAAATATCATAAAAACCAAGATACAAACCATAGGGGAGGGAGAATTCTTTGGGGGACAGAGTAGTCTGATATAAGGAATTAAGTCATTCTTTAATAAGGTATAGAAGTGAGGAGATGAAGCTTTTCATGTTAAGAGGGTGAGAGATGATACTCTAGCTGAAATTCTCTCTTTTGTACAACTGGAGCCTTTGGCTTTCCACAGCATCTAGTTTCTTCATTCTCTCACTTCCTTCTTCTTATGTGCAACTATATTGATATTTATTTACAGGATGTAACTTGCTCTGAGATAAGACAGTTATCTGGTTTCCTAGGAGTTAGACAAATATGGGTATCAGTCAACACGTATAATTTCTTACGTATGTCTGCACAGCTAATGGGTTGCCTTGTTAACAGCCTGTGGATGTAGAAGATTGGCGTATAGCACTAGAAGCTTCTGTAATGGTTTAATAACGTTATTGTCTATTCTTACAAGCTCTGTATTTTGAAGCTGAATAAAATTATATATACTTTTTCACTTATTTGTACTCCGAAGGAAAAACTATGTAGCATACTGATACATTAAAAAAAGTGGGGGGGGGGGCATTTAAGCCAATACCTTCTATAGTCACTTGCATAAATGTTTCTGGTAATAAATGGTTATTTTACTATCAGAGATTTAGTCTGATTCATGATATGCATTATCTTGTCTTTTAAAACTTTTATTATTTTCTGTTAGGGCACTTACCCTGACTCAGTCTGTATGTGCGTGGTCAGATGATAAGTTCACCATGGTTTATGGCTTTTCATAAGTGCATATAATGCTACCTTCTCCCTGCAGACCTGTGCCACTCATCACCAA